TATTCAATTTGTGTTTAAATGGTCTCCACATAAACAAACCGTTAAGTTTTTGTCAAAATGATCAAGTGTTGATCACGTGATACCATTTAAAAGAATGATACGTGACTATTACTATAAAAATTTTAATGAATTCTTCAGGACTAAAATGAAAGGAATTGATATTTTAAAAATTAAATTGATAAAATTAATATAATAAGGACCAAACTAATAAAATTCATAGAAAAAAAGTAATATTGACCTATTTTTTAATCTTAAGAGTCTATTCGGCCTTATTGCTTAGTACACAGACGCATAAATTAATGCCCACCCACTTTGTGCGGCTACTACCGACATTTTCTCTCTATATTAATGGAGTCTATTCGGCTTTTATTGCTTAGTACATAGGAGCATAAATTGATGCCCACCCACTTCGTGCACCCTCCCAGCGACATTTTCTCCCTCCCTCCCTCTCTCTCTCTCTCTCTCTCTCTCTCTCTCTCTCTCTCACGCTCACCTCCACCACGAATCTCCCTCTCGCAGCTATAACCACAGACGCAACACGCTACCAAAGTCGATACCCACCACCACAATACCCCCAAGCCAGCACAACTCAAACCTTAGACCACTTGAAGTGGAGTGCGTCAATTAGTGATTGAGGCGGCGACACAGCTAGAATTGTTTCCCATCTCACCGTTGCCAACGCTATCAGCAAAAGTGGGTTTTTCTCTGAATAAGGTTGAATTATGGTTTTTATTTCTAGTTGAATTGGGATTTTTTTTTTAAAGTTTTGGTTGATTTGGGCGATTGATTCAACTGGGTAATTGAGTCAAATAAAAAAAAATTACCCTATTTTTTTAGTTGAATTGGGTAAAAATGGTGCTTGAATTTATGATTCCGTGTCACAATTGAGTTGAATGGTGTTGGTGGTGCATATAGAGGGGGAGAGAGAAAGAACAAGTGAAGAGGAGGAAGAAGAATAAGAGTGAAAGAAGGGTCAATTTGTGTGATTTCTTTGTGTACATAGAACTGTAGAAGTGTGGCCGTATGTTGGTATGAGGTATGACCAAGGCTAAGGCAGTTTGAGTCACGGATGAGACAAGAAAAAGCAAGAAGACAGGGAGAGAGCGGGTGGGAAGAGGAGGAAAAGCTTTTTATGTTTTCTTTATTCAGGGGCAAAATTGTCATTAATGGTGAGGGGTAGTTATTAAAACGGATCTACAATCTACAGCGGGGTGCAGCGATATTTCAAAATAAATAAGGGGTCTGTCTAAAATCACTCTTATATTCAGGGTGTCAGTGCAATTTATCTTAAATTCTGTTGTTGATTACCTGTGCAGTGTATATGACTCAAAAGCATGTGTTTTTTTGACTTATGCCTGCCAATTGCACCAAAATGAAGCCGCCTGCTCTTAACTTACAGGGGAAATTAAAGGTGGAGAACGTTAGAGATCATCAATGATCAGTCATTTGTTTGTTCCATTTTATGTTTGCTTGTGTTGTTTATTATTGACAACCTCTGCTTTAGCTGATACTATCACTCCAACCTTATCTCTTAGTGACGGCAAGACCTTGGTTTCCAAAGATGGAAGCTTTGAACTGGGTTTTTTCAGTCCAGGCAGTTCCAAGAACCGGTACTTGGGAATTTGGTACAAGAATATTCCAGTTAGAACTGTTATTTGGGTGGCCAACAGAGAAAGACCAATTAAAGATCTCTCCGGCACATTCATGGTCAACAACACGGGCAATCTTGTTCTTGTCAGTCACGATGGTGGTGTTTTTTGGTCATCAAATTCATCGAGACAAGTTCAGAATCCAGTGGCACAGCTGTTAGATTCTGGAAATCTTGTATTAAGAGAAGACAAAGATGTAAACTCAGAGGTATATGTGTGGCAGAGTTTTGACTACCCATCTGATACATTGTTAGCGGATATGAAGCTTGGATGGGACTTAAGGGTCGGTCTGAACAGGGGGATTTCTTCATGGAAGGATTCTGAAGACCCTTCACCTGGAGAGCTAACTCATACCATAGAACTTCATGAATATCCTGAGGGAGTTATTTGGAAGGGCTCAAAAAAGTACTTTCGAACTGGCCCCTGGAATGGCCTTAGATTTAGTGGTGCACCTAACTTAAAGTCCAATCCCTTGTATACATTCGACTTTATCTCTAATGACGAGGAGGTGTATTTCACATATCACCTCAGGAATATATCTGTGATCTCGATTGTTGTTTTGAACGAAACCACCTCCTTGTTAGAGCGCCTTGTATGGATGGAAGTTGAACAGACATGGAAGTCTTATTTATCAATTCCACGAGACTATTGTGACAATTATGGTCTGTGTGGCGCCAACGGAATATGCGACATCTCTGCCTCACCTGCTTGCCAATGTTTGATGGGATTCAAGCCAAAATCACCAGAAAGATGGAAGTTGATGGACTGGTCACAGGGATGCATACGTGATAAGCCTTTGGACTGCCAAAGTACAGAAGGCTTTGTTAAATTTGAGGGCGTGAAATTGCCGGATACTACTAATGGTTGGGTGAACAAAAGTTTGAACCTTATTGAATGCAGAGACAAGTGCTTAAAAAATTGCTCTTGCATGGCTTATACAAACTCAGATATTAGAGGAAATGGTAGTGGCTGTGCACTATGGTTTGGTGATCTGATTGATATCAGACAGTTCCCCCTAGGGGGAGACAATCTTTATATAAGAATGTCTACCTCAAGCTTAGGTATTTGTCTTTCTTTTGTTTTTGTTGCTGCTTGATGTGCATTTTACTAAATTTTATAGATTAGCTGTCAGTTTTTCCTATAAAAATGGGACTGTTTGCTTCATGAAGGGACAAACAATGGGACTACAGGGAAATCGAATCCTGGAGAAGCAAAAGATGGGGCTAAATGGGGCATACCAGTTATTATTGTAGCCACCATTGCAGGAATTTCTGTGATGCTTATTGTCAGCTATTACATTTGGAAGGGAAGGGCAAGAATAAAAGGTAAAATCTTAAACTACTCACATGCTCATTCCCACAGAACTTGTAGTGTAATTATTTTATTGAAATTCTTTTTCATATTACGCTTTTCTGAACAGAAGCTGTTATGATTGCAGTGCAAAAATCTTGCAATGGTGGGAAGTGAAATTTTTATGAAAGAGGAACTATCCAATTCAATTGCAATAATTCATAATGTCTCCTTCCTATTAAATGGCACATTCTGGTACATGGGACTTGGTACATCTATCTTTTCTATTTTAAGCTGGAAATCTGAGTTCTTTGAGGGTACTGAATAAACTGCAGAAATCATTAGTAAGAGGAGTCAAATTCTTAAGCTTATATTATTAACCCTCTTAGCGTCCTACTTATTTGGGCTCGCATATAATGTTCCACCCATAGTTCAGTACAGTAAATTCAAGGCATAGGCCACACAGCTCACCTTCAAATTCAATCAACAATGTGTACTATCCTTTTTTGAGTATACTTGTGATTTTTTCTCCATAGGGAATTGTAGGCTTGTGGTTTTTTTCTTAATGTAGGATGGCAGTTGATGATCTTCTGTCATGTCAATTTTGCTGACTTCCAACAAATGAAAGTGTAATTGATTGAAGGGCTAGTTTCCACTGAAAGAACGAGAATTCGAAGTATCATTTGCATTCATTGTCTGGTAAGAATTTGAAATTTGGGTGTGCTTTAAGACTTGAAATCAGAGCTTCTGAAGATGGTTGTTTTCTCGTGATACCATATATAAATTTCAATCAGCTTTGGTTTTATGCTTCAGTAACTCATTGTTGTAGACTAATCTGGCATTTGTTTCTAGCTATTCATTACTATAGCGAAATGCATAGCACCTATTTGGGCTAATTCTTAGGAACACCATTGCACAAGAGCAGAATAAAATCTACGAATTGCCCTGTTTCACCTGAGGAACCTTCGTAATTGGATGAACTAAATATTAGGATTTATAAAGTATTTAATTCTGAGCGAAGTTGTAAGTTAACCTGCCCCGAGTCGTATGTGTTTTTCGAGCATTTATTTTTTTGGGAAGAAAATTATTTGATTCTATATTTCTTCAGCTTCTAAGATAAGGAAATCTGTGTTTTAAATATATGATTTAAGTCGAATACTATAATTGTGCAGATATATTCATCCAATATCATCTGTTTACATTATCTTTTTTTTTTTTTGGTGTTCCGTGTAACAAGTATTGAACGTGTGTTTATACTAATGAAAATCAGCAAGAAACAGAGAAAATGGTCCTAACGAAGAAGGCCCGGATGAAGACTTGGATTTATCCTCATTTAACTTGCCCACACTATCTATTGCTACTGATAACTTTTCAGAAAATAACAAGCTTGGAGAAGGTGGATTTGGACCCGTTTACAAGGTAAGTTTGCAACATGCTAATAATGACCATATGTCGTAAAGAAGCACTAGATTCATTTGAGAATACCAATCTTGCAACAACTGCTAATTTACAGGGTACTTTGGGGGATGGCCAAGAAATTGCTGTGAAGAGGCTTTCAAAGAGTTCTGGACAAGGATTGACTGAGTTCAAAAATGAAGTAATACTGATTGCCAAACTTCAGCACCGGAATCTTGTAAAGCTTCTTGGGTATTGCAATCAAGGAGAGGAAAAAATGTTGATTTATGAATACTTGCCCAACAAAAGTCTGGACTCCTATATTTTTGGTTAGAACCTTAAAAAACTAAGGACTTTAATCGGATTGGTGTCTTTCTTGTTTTTATAGAATTTAATGCCTCTTGACTTCTTGTTGTGCGTATTGAAGTTGGAGAAGAGACTAATTTGATAAATGAAAAAATTATCAGATGAAACAAGAGGTAAATTATTAAACTGGCCAAAGCGCTTTCACATCCTTTGCGGAATTGCTCGAGGGCTTCTCTACCTTCATCAAGATTCAAGATTGAGAATTATTCATAGAGATCTCAAAGCAAGTAATGTCTTACTTGACAATGAGCTAAACCCAAAAATATCTGACTTCGGAATGGCTCGAATTTTTAAAGATCAGACTGAAGAAAATACAAAGAGAGTGGTTGGGACATAGTATGTCTACACACCCATTTTTGTTCTCTACAATACCATAATCTACTTACATGTGATTGACTTTTCATGATGTTATGCAGTGGTTATATGGCACCAGAATGTGCTATTTATGGGTTGTTCTCGGTAAAATCTGATGTCTTTAGCTTTGGTGTTCTCTTGCTGGAGATAATAAGCGGAAAGAAGAACAGAGGGCACCAGTATAATCTTATTGAACTCGTAAGTGTTGAGAATCCGGTATTTATGTTTCATTGTTTTAAAATATTGAATCACAAATGAGCTTAATCTGTTCTAGGCATGGAGATTGTGGAACCAAGAGATGGCACTTGAACTGATCGATACATTAGTCGAGGACTCATGCATTTTACCTGAAATATTCAGATGCATCCATGTGGGTCTCTTGTGTGTGCAACAACTTCCAGATGACCGGCCGAACATGTTATCAGTGGTTATGATGCTGAGTGGTGAGAGTGCACTGCCTCAACCAAAACAGCCTGGTTTCTTGATAGAAGTACATAATGAAGGTCATCCTTCATCAAGCAAGAATGAATCTTGTTCAGCCAATGAGATGACTGTTACATTGTTGGAGGCTCGTTAGTAGATTTCCATGTTGTTCCCACAGAATGGACTGATCAATACTGGTAAATGATTGATAGTTTGCTATTTTATAGTCTTTGAAAGTTAGTTATATGTACAAAATAGTGTTCTCATTTTAAGAAATAGAGCTTATGCGAAGAAGGAAGGCATCTTGAACTGATTCATGCATTATTAATGGATTTGTGCAGCTTACCCGACAAATCCATTAACATCTATAATTCCTTGTAAATGATTATCTTAGGTCTCTCTCTCTCTCTCTCTCTAATAAAGTCGAACGAATTTGAATTTTGGAGGCAAAGAGTGGTCTAGATAATTTCTTGACCAAAAACAGTATCATTTAACGGACGACGTTATCTCAAATTATCTCGAGCTATTGACGTATAGGATCGTTTTGATCCGACGACGTACCACATTAATTCTATTGAAATATTTTTATTATTCAAAATAGTTTCTAAATTTGATATTCTAAAATTTAATTCTCTCAAATCTTTTTCATAAATCAAGTAAATTTCTCGCTCTATCTCATTCCTCCGTATCTCTCTCTTACGCTCAATTCATGCAAAAAAGTATCAATTTTTCACAATATTTTTTTTTGTATCTCACAAAAATATTAGAAAGTATCTGATTCAAGTAAATATTATATCTCTCTGTAGATAGATAGTATATATTACAGAGAGAGATAGTATATTACAAAAATATTTCTTTGTATCTCTCTCTAAAAAAAATTATGTAATAAATATTAAATGGATAGTATATATTACAAAAATATTTATCTGTATCTCTCTCTTTCATTCAAGCAATAATACAAGCACGAATCATACCAATTCAGTAATCAATTTTGTTTTTTTCATAATCAATAAAAAAAAGCATTACTTGTAAAAAATCTAATTTAACAAAAAAAATATACTTAACATGTGAAATATACAAAATTAAATTTAAGTTATTGAATAACTCAGATATCAAGATATATATTAAAGAAATATGCTTAACATTTAAAATATACAAGATTAAATTCATATATAAACACGAATAATATAAATTTAATATTTAGTGAGCAACATAAAGCAACAATATTTACTAAATAATTCAAATCTAAATACCCGAGAAAAATAATATAAAATTACAAGTGAGAAAAACGATACAAAATTATAAACAATACTATGAACACAAATCATACAAATTTAATATTTAGTGAACAATACGAAACAACAATTTTTACTAAATAATCCAATATTAAATAACGTTTAGTTTTAAGAAAATATACTAAGAATATAAATAACGGAGAAAAATTATATAAAATTAAAAATACTACTATAAACTCGAATCATACAAATTCAGTAATCAATTTTGTTTTTTTCATAATCAATAAAAAAAAGCATAATATGCAAAAAATCTAATTTAACAAAGAAAATATGCTTAATATGTAAAATATACAAGATTAAATTCAACTTATTGGGCAACTCAAATATCAAGAGATATATTAAAGAAACTATGCTTAACATTTAAAATATATAAGATTAAATTTTTATACAAGCACAAATCATACAAATTCAATAATTAATGAACAACACAAAACAACAATATTTACTAAATAAATCAAATCTAAATACTTGAGAAAAATGATACAAAAGTATAAGCGATAGAAACAATACAAAATTATAAGCAATATTATTAACACAAATCATACAAATTTAATATTTAGTGAACAATACGAAACAACAATCTTTACTAAATAATTCAATACTAAGTAACATTTAGTTTAAGAAAATATATTAAGAATATAAATAACGGAGAAGAATGATATAAAATTAAAAGCACTATTATAAACTCGAATCATACAAATTCAATAGTCAATTTTGTTTTTTCCCTAATCAATAAAAAAAAGTATAATTTACAAAAAATATAATTTAACAAAGAAAATATGTTTAACATATAAAATATACAAGATTAAATTCAAGTTATTTGACAAATCAGATATCAAGAGATATATTAAATAAAATATGTTTAACATTTAAAATATACAAGATTAAATTCATATACAAACATGAATCATATAAATTCAATATTTAGTAAATAACACAAAACAACAATATTTACTAATTAATCTAAATCTAAATATCCAAAAAAAATGATACAAAATTACAAGCGAGAGAAACGATACAAAATTATAAACAATACTATGAATACGAATCATACAAATTCAATATCTAATTAACAACACGAAATATTAATCTTTACTAAATAATCCAATACTAAATAACATTTAATTTAAGAAAATATATTAAGAATATAAATAACAGAGGAGAAATTACAAACACTACTATAAACTCGAATCATACAAATTCAATAGTCAATTTTATTTTTTTCATAATCAATAAAAAAAAAAGCATAACTTGCAAAAAAAATCTAATTTATTAAAGAAAATATGTTTAATATATAAAATATACAATATTAAATTCAAGTTATTTGACAAATTAGATATCAAAAGATATATTAAAAAAATATATTTAACATTAAAATATACAAAATTAAATTCATATACAAATATGAATTATACAAATTCAATATTTAGTGAACAACACGAAATAACAATCTTTACTAAATAATCTAATATTAAATAACGTTTAGTTTAAGAAAATATAATACGAATATAAATAACTGAGAATAATGATATAAAATTAAAAACACTACTATAAACTCAAATTATACAAATTCAATAGTCAGATCGTATCTTTTGGAAGTCGGTTGAATTTTTGATAGTTATATTTGGTCATTTGACAACATCTGTAGACTTAGTTTATTTGTGGGAGTATTATTTTAATTTTATTTTATTAGTTATGAATTTTGTTATTATTTAGATAAAATTGATTATGAATGTTAAAATCGTGGATTTTGAATAAAAAATAAAACATTGAATATTGTCAAAAATTATTTTTTCAGATGTTTGAATTATTATGTTTCAGTGGTTATAACATAATTTTCATGACGTAAAAATTTAATGTGAAAATATATACTATGAATATAGGTTGATGTTATAAAAAATATTAGCGGACTCATTTTGTTCGTTATTTACTACAATATTATATTTTACTTTACATGCATGTATGAATAAATATTTATAACTAATTTATGAGTAACATTATGCCTTCAGACAAGATAATTGCTAGTATATATATATAACACTGTGCCCCCGTCACATCCAATTTCGATATCATTTCACGTTTCATGTATATAGCAATTCACAGGTTTCACTTGACTCAGTAAACTCCAAGATGTCTCGGTCGACAGAGTAATCATCGTAGACACGCAATGTATCGACCGACAGGGTTCTACTACATCGTGATAAGGTCTTAATAACTATCTTGTTCAACTTATTTTTCTATATGCATCTCAATGTCAGCGGAGCCAATCATCCTCGAGCAACATGGTAGAGGGGAAAGGGACATAAATTGCACATGAATGAGGGGTGGCAGCGTTTTGGATTCGTGAAGCAAAAGCCACTCTATTATATTTCATGCCTTGTGGGCCTTTCTTCTTAGAACGACGAAGATGGAGAAATTAAAGTATTGAAATTTTAAAAATTAATTTAATTAGTCGATTTAATGATGTGATAATGACATGGTCTTTTTTTTTAAGGTACAAAGTGTCCAGATTTGTGTTGATTGCTCTCTCGAGATCAATTGATTTAAAGCATGTTCTTAAAGGGACAAAAATGATTAACCCTTAAAAAGTGTGTGGAAAGAAATTTAACCTAATACATGTATATTATCAAAGACTATGTTCAATCATTGGACCGCCTCGAAGGGTTAACAATGACATGGTCTACTAGTAGTGTTATGACTCTAATTGTTGAATATTTCGTGGAAATTATATAACTTCATCATCTTTATATGAATTTTTTTAGGCTCTAATAACATTACTATTTAGTATAAATTGCATATACCATTTCTCATTAGTTTGTGATGTAGTGCTTACACTTATACATTGCACAAACCATTGTCAAAATACTTGCTTGTCAGGCATATAAGTTGATTTGTTTTAAAAAATATTTCGACAATTTAACAAGTAATAATAATTAATTAAAAATGTATAATATTTTATAAATAATATATACCATATAACATTATCGTATAATATCTAGTGAGCACGCAATTTCACGTGTCATCGTACCCTACTAGCAAAAGTCAAGTACTGGCACCTAAAAAAGGGTCCAAATTCAGATGATTGAATCTATGAATCCCTTGACTTTTCATAATTTGTTAGTTAAGTTTCGTCTTTGATATTGGAAAAATGTTATATAACATAAATAAAATTAAAAAATTTAAATTTAAATGTATATTATTTTTTCAATGAGTATGAGATAAGTATAGGGTGAACTAATTGGACGAGTGTCTGCCATATATCTGCCTTGATTTCTCTAACGGGTCAAAAATACTCCTATGAATCTTATTGTCGCCCTCGCATTCTCCATCTTCAAACTAGTATTCTTCAACAACTTGTAAAAATAATTTAGATAGAAAAAGATTTGAAGTGTGATTGGCTCGAAATTCCAAAGTTTAAATATTTTAATTCATTTTATGTATAATTATATGCATTCAAAGTTTATGAAACCATCACGTGTTGGAAGAAAAAGTGAAGTTTTTATTGAGTGTATAAGATATTCGTTTATAATAGAATATGTGAGAAATAAGTAGTAGACAATTACATCTTATTTTAAAATATAGTTATATAGAACTCTAGCATATGTTCACATGACATAAAAGCGCCTTTTTTTTTTTTAACTTTTAAAATGTTTGAGTCAGTTTACGCATATCTCGACTAATCTCTTCATTGGTTTAGTCAAAAGGGGGTCATCCATGTACGGACTAGAGTATTCACAAGAAATAAATTTCTTATAACTTAATCCCAAAGGTATTGTTAAGATCGAAATTAAGATGTTTAAATTTATAATTTATCTCTATTACCACTAAACTAGTAAAACTCGTATCATCATTAAGAGGATAAAAATTAAGTTAGCGTAATCTAATGACCGTTGTCCCGCAATTAAACTTTAATGTTGTCACATATTCGAATCTCCTCCTCCTCCTGCTGTCCAACTTAAAAAATAAAAAATTAAGAGGCTAAAATAGCCATTATCTAAGGTCGTCCATTACAGATCAAAATGATGATAGGCGTGACAACAACATATCATCATTAAGTCATAAAAGGAACACCCCCCCCCCCCCCCCCTCCAATACCCCATTAAGTAAACAATAACAAAGCATATTTAGGTACTAATCCATGATTACGAAGCTTAACTAATCTAGACATTGTACTATAAATATAGCTGTTCTTTTGGGCTCTCAATCACCAACCTTTCGAAAGGGAAGAAGTTTTCGGGACTCAATCAATGGCCACCAAAGTGTATATTGTGTAAGTATTTAACTACACCATTTACTTCTGCTCTCCACCTGCACTCTCTCTCTAGAATCCTTTTGTTTTGTGGATAATTGCATGGTTTTATTGATCGTTTATTTGATCATTGTGCATTTTCGAGATTATACTCTGTTATTTTACCATCTGGGTATTGGGTTTTCTGGTATCGATCATTCTACGGTAGTAGTGAATGGCCAATTTGATGACTAGTAAAACTGGGAAAAGAAAGGCAAATGAGTCGGACTATAAATAAAATTTGGGTAATCAGACTTGTTTTGAAACTTGTAAATATGTTTCAAAAGAATGATCAATTCATTTTAAGTTTTAGTATATATCTGCATATGTAAAACCCAGTTAGAGTTTAAAGGCAGCCATTGGGTAATGGCCTTTCTAGTTCTCTGTTTGTGTGTCTGTATGCAATTTCACCATGTTGTTTTATTAACAAAATTCTCTCCGGGGATTTGACTCAGGAAACTTGAATATACCATATGCTTGTCTCAAGACTCTCTACTAATCAATTGATCTTTTGCCCAATCACCATTCAATGATAATAAATGCATATTTACGTAATACTTCTTGGTGTGATTTCCCTCCATTAAATTACTAACAACTTGCTTTTTTATCATTATATGTTATTTAGTTATTTACTCTTTCTTGATCTATTGATAGATTCATCTCACTTAAAGAGAATCAAGAGAACTTGTTTTCACATTGCATGATTATAGGAATGCATAGCTGTTCCTGTTTGATGAGCTGTTTTGTTTTGAAGGTACTTCTCTAAATGTTGGAGCTAGCAATTGGAAACAGCTTCCACCTAATACAACATACAGACATACACATCCAAGAGAAACATAGTGTATATAGAGTTGTTTGCAATTAGTTTAAAAGTGAAGCTATAGCCAAAAGCAAACAAGTCCAACACAAAAGGAGGAGTCTCTTTTTAACTAAATAGAGAATTATATTCGGGTTTGGAACAGGAGGGAAGACAATCTTTTTGGATTCTATAGAAGAGCAACCCATCTATAGCTTCCATGTTGCTCACATATGTGCCTTTTGGCATGCATCACAGTACCAAATTATTCCATTAAATTTTTACTATTTTTACTCTTAAAAGGAAAAACAATTTTTTGCATTTTTCTAAAACATTCACTATTATGCCTGTACTTAAATCTAAAAGTTGTATAATTCGTCGTATCATTCAATGGTGCATTCAGCCCTTTCTTCTTTATTAGTTTACTTATTTTGAATTGATGTCAACTTGTATAAGTCTAGCCTTATGCCAAAAAATGATTTTCCATGTAGGCTCAGTGGGCCATGCCCATGCCTTTGTGATTAATGGTGAGTTACCTTAAAATCATGGTGATATTTAGTACAGCAAGAGTGGGAGGAGGGTGTTTTTAGTGTTGACCTATTATCTGGCTTTATTTGCATGAGGTTTGAAGCAGTGATCTCGTTGCTTGGCACATCTAGCTTTTACAGCTGCACCAATTAATGGTTCCTAAATAAAGAAAATTAATTACATAATGACACATTTATTTGCTCAGCTTTTTGCTTGCATTGAGAACTAAATACATCCAAGTGATACGAGGTTAAATTGTTTCTGCTTCTGCTTTGTTCTTTCCTTCCATCGACAGGTACTATTCTATGTATGGACATGTGGAGAAACTAGCAGAAGAAATAAAGAAAGGGGCTGCATCTATTGAAGGAGTTGAAGCCAAACTATGGCAGGTAGATGCTTTTTCTTTTTCTGTTTTTGATTTCCTTTTGGTATAAAAGATCAAAGACAAGCAAAGCGTAGATAAGCATCTCTGCATGCTGCATATATGGAAATACTACCTTGATCAGCCTTTTATAAATGTGGGAAAAAGTTAATTGAGGCTTCTGTAACATTGAAATATGTGTGCTCTGTATTATTTATACATGTGCATGCTGTTTGCATCCTATAAATTACAAGGTCCAGTTTGTGCGATAGAATATTCAGTATACAATAAAATAAAGTAGCCATGATCAAAAGGAAATTTTGGGGGGAAATCCACTCCCTTCCCGCTAAATGGAAAAAACAAAAGTTAATGGGTAAAGAAAAGTAAATGGAGATGACACGAATGAAGAACCAAAGAGATGCCTTTGATTGTCTGAGTTGATATCCACAACTTTTAGCACTAGAGATGCCTGACAGACAAGGATGTCGAGTCTGTAACATGGATTCATACTTATTTGTTGAATGAACTCATGGAGAAAAATGTTTCTTCTGTAGAATCTAGCTTCATTGACCTGTAAGGTTTGAGTGAACGGCTACTACTCAGCTATCATCAAATGCTTTTTTGCAACTGTTTGGAGGTCAAGTGCACAACTTCTTGGACATTCTACTTGTACCATGGCGTCCCTTAGTGGTGCTGATTCCACTTGGTGGTGTTGTCATTGTTCATTTTTAGCATCTTAATTAGTCCTACCTTATTCAATTCTACGCTGGGATTTGCTGCCTCCTGCACCATATGAATCATTTACTTATTGTTACACTGCCTTGTAATTTTTAGCTTCACGTTTTTTATGCTTGCTTAAATCTGAACATCTTCCTTTATATGTCCCAACACTTTGCTTTATTACTCTTTGTTGATTTATGTTATGAGGGATTTCAGTTAGGTAAGAGCTAATTGACATGATTTTGACTTCATTAAATTTTTAATAGTGCTTCTAAGCTGGAAATAGTTGTCTCCAATATTTGGCTTGTTCATCATCATCTTCTCTCTATATCTCTTGCACACATACAAAATGAAACTAAACGAAGGACCAAAACCAGAACAAGAAAAGAAAGAAATGTGAAGACAAAAACTAAAAAAGGCCAAGCTCTCTCAAAGGCTGAATGTCCGAGTCGCAGCAACTTCTCTCTCCCGGACCTCAGGAATGCATTAGACTGAGAAATTGATTACTTTCTTCACTAAGCTTTCGGGAACAAACACTAATCTGTTTGGAAAATATGATTCATGCCCTATATCCTGCTTTTGGTTCATGCATTCTTTGCGTAGACACTAGAGTTTCCTGCTTGACTCAAGCTCCCATATTAGCACGAAGCAGTTATCCTATTGCTGACAGCTTACTTGAAGACATGATATCTTTGCGTGGTCAGGTCCCTGAGACACTACCTGATGAGGTGCTTGGGAAAATGAGTGCACCTCAAAAGAGTGATGTTCCAGTTATTACCCCTAGCGAACTTGCTGAGGCTGATGGTTTTGTTTTTGGCTTTCCCACGAGATTTGGAATGATGGCTGCTCAATTCAAAGCATTTCTTGATGCAACCGGCGGTCTTTGGAGAGCACAGCAGCTTGCAGGCAAGCCTGCTGGGATCTTCTATAGTACCGGATCCCAGGGTGGTGGACAAGAAACTACTGCGTAAGTTCCTGCTTGAAAATCCCATCTTAGCTTGAGTTGAAAATCCCATCTTCTACAGTACCGGATCCCAGGGTGGTGGAATTAACTTTCCTCTCTCTCCTTTTTCTATGTAATATGCATTATAGGTTGACTGCCATTACTCAGCTGGCTCACCACGGTATGATCTTTGTGCCCATCGGATATACATTTGGGGCTAGAATGTTTGAAATGGAGAAAGTGAAAGGTGGAAGTCCTTATGGTGCAGGAACTTACGCTGGCGATGGCTCAAGAATCCCATCTGAGCTTGAGTTGGAGCAGGCTTTCCACCAGGGGAAGTACATTGCCACCATCACCAAGAAACTCAAGGGAGCTTCATGATTCTTATTCAATAAGAAGATACCGTTTGGCATTCTTATACTAATTCTTTCCGTAAAGAATGCATATATCCTACTAATCCCAGGTTGCAAAAAATTATTCCTGCTTTGTTGGATTCAAGATTTGTATGTGTTCTCCAAGTACAGAGGTTTCTTTCAATGATAAAAGTGTGTTTGATCAATTGTGTTACCAGTTTCCTTCTAATTGTTATTTATGATGTGTCTTCTTCGAACAAGAACAGAAGATTGTAACAGGTTCTATTAGAGAACAAATAACTAAATTAAAATCTGGATTGATGTGATGTTGCTTGGCATTATAGTGTCAGATCCCTGTGCAGACCAACTCTACAAACTTGATTGTTTGAGCTCATCAACTTTGTGATTTGTTATTTACCGAAAAAAAAAAAATATGTGATTTTTGTTGGCCTGAATTAGGGTGCAACTTGGTCAAGTTAACCGAATTTAACCTGAATTTAACCTAGAAAGATAGGGCCCAACTTGAACTCAACCTAGAAAAATAGGCTTGGGTTGAGTCTGAGTTGAAAAATACTAACCCGAATTAAATTTAGGCAATACTTAGGTTGAGGTATCAAATTACCGAATTTACTCCAAATATATAAAATCGGGCTCAATTCAAATATTAAATCAGGCTCAACTTGAACATATTTAAAAATAAATATATAAATCAAAAAATTCAATAGTATATTTTATAACTAGGGTTCACTCTTTACAATTCACATTAATGAGCTCATTCCAAATTTTAACCCGAAATCCGTCATAATTAAATAACCCGAACTCAAACCGAATTCAATCCAAACCCGTCTGAATTCAACTTAGGCAGTACTCGAATTAAGTACCTCAGATTGAGATCGAATTAGAATTGAAGATCATATGTTTAGAGTTGGACTAGAATTGACTTCTTAACCCATCCGAGTTACACCCCAACTTTCAACACCCCCCTTCCCTTTCCGACACAAAAAAAAAATCCCTCCCATTTTGGGTTATGCAAACCATAATTGCAGGATTTGTTTATTAGTCTAATCTATTTCGTAATCGCCGACTAATTTAGTAGTGCGTCCATCTGCCAAGCTGCTAGAATAAACAAATTCATTATTAAATTCAGCAATGCGTAGTGGCAAGTTGGTTGGTGTTGTACCTGTAGCTCACAGGTTGTCTGCTCTGCTTACGTCCATGCTGACATGATTGAAACACATACGCACACAAATGTAGCACAATTACATTCCCCCCCCCCCCCCCCAAAAAAAAAAAAAAAAAAAATTCTTGTTCCTCTTGAAACCAGCAGTAATAAAAGGATTAAACGCCAATCACCAATCCCAACATCGAAAAATGCTTATGCTCTAAATAGTAGTGGGAGACCTCAATGAGGATAATTTGCCTCTAATCATATTCAAAGTCACATGTAATATTGTTTTAGCACTCCTAGTTATATTGTACAAGATTCTTAAGTTCTTTCTTTTCAAACATAGTAAACTACAGCTTATAAACACAGTTTAAAAATCGAATTCTGCAAAAAAAATTTCTTCCTGTTATCTATAGTTATACTAATGAAGCTATCCGAAGATAAATCCTCCAAGAAAGAATGACATCGATTAATAATATAATTAATAGAATAAGAGCACCGAAAGAATAAATGGCAAAAAATAGTATTACAGAAAATACACTGAATATCAGTATCGTTTAAGTATATATATTGTATTCTATATTGGTGTGAAACTTCCTTTGAATCGCTAACCACAGCATAAAACTCCACCTTGGCACTGAATCTCCAAACCAAATGATATGAGACCATGTAACAAGAGGATGATGAAGTCTAATAGCATTCCAAGCTGAAGCTACATAATAGCATCAATTAGCAGACAGGCTCCCCTAGATCACCTCTTTCCTAGTACCACAAGGTAAATAAGTAGGCAAAGACTCCTCAATTTCCCTCAAATATTCGTAGGGCCAACACCACATATTCTGATCAATAATAGATTTTGCAGTAGAGTCCATAGATATACATGAATTATATAATTTTTTAAATGTTATCCTTTTCAAATTTTGGTATTCAATATTTGACGCATGAAACTTTGTCATCAGATAAGGTATAACCGAGTCAAGATGCCTATAATTTTCAAAACTCCATTTATAATAGAGAGAATGCTTTAAGGGTGCCAACGAATCTTCTTGTCTAAAGGAAGCTTAGCTTGAATTAGGAAATCACTCAGAAAGAATCCTATATCATCTTTTTTTTTTTTTTTTGTCCAATAGTCAGGAGTGTCCGGGTCAGTTTACTTACATCTCGACTAATTTTCTCTTCGATTCGGTTAAAGACAGACAATTCATACTAGGATTAAGGTATTCATAAGAGATAAATATCTTATGACTTGACTTTAAAAAATTGTCAATATTCGAGTACAGAACACTCAAGACATAAATCACCACAACAGTGCTGTGAAATCATTGTCTGGTCCTGTTTTTCAACAAGAAAGTAATTTATCAAATGCATCTGAGTTAACACAAATGAAAACTCCAGACAACATTGGCATTGGAAGACATGATATATTATCTTTTTTGTTTTTTGTTTTGGAGAATAAGATCGTCTCATATTGGCGTGCACATGACGTGATCGTAGTAATGATCAAAGCTTGTCTATGCTTTTCTTTTTGTATTCATTTACGCTTCTAAGTAAAGCTAACTCGTTCAAAAAAATTCAAAATCTAGTTCTAAAGTACTTGATGATAAGGTTGAGGTCCCTATTTTGGTAGATATGCTACAATTTCAAATCATGTACAAAAGCACTTCAATTTTAGGACTTTATTCTCCTAATATCGTTATTTTAAAGTCATTTCTCATTCTTATATTAAGTGTCTAAAAGCATGAATTTAAATGAAACTTTTCAATGCCAATACCTGATTCCGAAACTTGCTTTTAATATACTTTACATTAAATGTTACATTCACAAATGTGATACATGTTTTTTATGCAGACTAGTCTTTCATCCTTTGCAACCCAATGATCCTTAGTAATTATCATCTCTTTAATGTTGTGACATTAGTTTTGTAATTTTGAGCAACCTTAACTTTGTACCGAGATGTGGCATTATTATATGTGATATATGTTTTCTGTGTGGAATTTTATTCTCCATGCACTAATTATAGTGTTATACCCCCTACATCATGAGCATCCTTTGTATTATTAGGCACCTCTTTTAGGTTCCTATTTTAACCCAATAAAGCTTTTTAATTTTGACCAACTTTAACTTCCCACTCGGATGTCGTTGGATACTTAAACTAGTGTTTCAACTTAAAAGACGTGATAAATACTAAGTTTCATCATGTTATAGAGGATAAAACGTGATAATCAGTGCATAAAAAAATGAAATTCCACATAAAAAATATATGTCATATTTATAAATGCGATATTTAAGTACAAAGTTAAGTTTACTCAAAGTTAAAAAGTTGTATTTGTTAAACTAGTGTTCCAATCTGAAAGATGTGGCAAATACTAAAGGTCACCATGTTGAAAATGATGGAACACCATAATTAGTGTATAGGAAATGAAATTCCACATGTAGTACATATATTACATTTGTCAATACGATATTCTAGTATGAAGTTACAGTTGGTAAAAATTAAAAATTTTTGTCAGAATAAACTAGTGTGAAATATGTTCCAAACCACTATATATAGAGGGAGAAATATGGGTAAATTAAAAATCAATAATTTAAGGGAGAGAATTCCTACAATATCCTCCTGCCAATAAATTGAAGACTTAGAATTAAAGAAGATACCATCAGTGAGTAAATCATAAGTAACTGTGTGTGTGTGAGAGAGAGAGGGAGAGAGAGATGCGTTTTGGCTTCTCTTTACTTTCCAATGGATGCACTTCAATGTGACCATTCGATGAAAAGCGCAAAAGTATGGTTGATAGCTCCTGTACCTATATCCCCCCATTTCTTAAAAACCCTAAAAAGAGGCCGCATGGGTCACCCTCTGACTTCCACTAACATATTCCAAACATATAAACAAATCAAAAGTTAGATTTCCAATCAAATGATCCCCCCCCCCCCCCAACCCCCCCACACACACACACACACTTATTCCTATTCTTAACTTCAAATTATTCCTTTATTTCTCTTCTTATTTACAGTACAGTGCAGTGCAGGTTCTATGCACGAAAAGGTACAACAACAAAAGCTTCTTTATCCTTCCTTGAGTTAAATTCAGCTACAAACAACAGATTAATCCAATCTAAACTAATCTATACTTTCTCTAAATCTACCATTTGTTCACTCCTAACGAATCTTTGATCATAATTCGTTAATTATTACAAGACTATATTCCTGTCCAATGGTCCCTAATATTGTCCAAAGCTGCATCATTTTGCCTGTAGCTGGTCCAGCAGTCCCTGTCCTTTAAAGGGTGATCTCCTTTTCTCTCTATCATTCAGCATATTTTTTTCTTCTGAATCCATCTGGAGAAGAACAGTTACACGGCTCCAGTGTACTTTTCTATCTTGTCATTCCCCTAGAGTTCGATGAAATACTACTTGCATTGTACGGAATTGGTTTTTTTGAGTCGTAATTTCACTAGATTTAGTTGTAATCTTAGTTCCGAAAAGAGAAAAAAAAAAGAAAAGGAATCAATTCTATGCCTGAATATCGTTCGGGTTCTTGGTCCTCCTATCTGAAAGTTCCACCAAATGTAGGGGTCCAAAATTCGACTGTCGTTTCATGGGTGACTGGGAAGGTGCTTGAAACCGGTACCAGACATAGTCCTCGACTTCTAAGGTCTTGCTTGGGTCCTTCTGGACCCTTACACTTATCAGAGTTCTGCATAACGAGAAAAAAGAAATATTGTTTTCGAAGAAAGAAGAAGCGAAAAGGTTTTAAACCTAGCCAGTAAGTTAACAAGATTCTCACTATGAATGGATATCTATTTTATGAGTAGCACGAAACAAAAAGAATTATGTTCTGTACCTGTTGGTGCTGGATGGAAGCTCCAATTTTCATGTATGGCGTGCTCAACACCTATTATATTTTCAGTGAAAACAAGAGCATTCGTTAGGAAATTAGTTTAAACTTTGGAACAGTTTATTTTCTGGTTTTCATATTTAATTACTACTTATAGAACTTACACTGACTTGTTCATGGAGGAACTTGATGTATTCAATAGCTTCAGAGAGCACCGAAGCTGTATCCGTCTGAAATAATATCATTACACAATTGACATAAATCAATGTAGCTTTTATGAATTCAGAAAGAAAATCATCTCACTGACTCACTCTACTCTTCTGTGAAAGTTAAATAAATTCAGAAGTTTACCTTTCCAAAAGGCGAAACTAATTGTTGCAATGTAGTGATTCTGTCTCCCATCTTCTCTTTCCTCACCTGATGAGAAACAAAGATACATATGTTCTCATCCATCATCCATGGCTATGAAAAAAGGGGAAAAAAAGCTTAAAGGTCCCCATTGTCAAAAGGTTCTTGAACTTATTCGTACCTTAAAAGCTGGCAAAGGTGTTGGCGTTTCATTCCGGGGCCTTTTATTTGATGGCTCACAGCTGCTTTTCTTCGTTACTGTGCCTAACTCCCGAACTTCTGATGTATTCTGTTGAAACATCATTTGTGGAAATTACGATATCAAACAGTTGAAACCCTAATCACGAAGAAGTTACCAAACTTCTTTTTTTGTTTGCACCAAAAAAAATCTGTATTAAGAATTTGTTGAGTTAAGCTGAGCACCTGCGGTTTCTCATTAAAGGTAGTTGTGGGTTGCGATTGTAATGAGGGAAAAAAGCTAGGCCGAGCATCATTCATTGGGGCTGTGGAAGAATTCCAAAACGGAGCGTTGTTGGAGAACTGTAACTGGCTTTGAGGTGGCTGTTTTGGAGGAGAAGTTCTAAGAAACTGTGGAAATTTAGACCAAGAAGGCATCACTTCACCTGTGTTCATGCCATAGCTAGATGGATACGAATAATTCATCGTTCGGCTCTCAAAATTAGGCTGTTGTTGCTGATTATCAGATATCAATAACCCTTGTAACATAGTAGGACTTCCATACATAGCTGAATCCATCTGAAAACTAGTTGATAAGCCCTGGCATGTTATAGCACTGCTATCATTGGAGCTGATATGAGAACTATACTGAGGTTGATCCAAAGTTAAACCCCGGTTGATTGGCTTGAATTCGTTCAAAGATGAGTCCTCAGAACTCCCAGAATAAATTTTCTCTCTCCACTTTTCTTGAGAAGACGCCATCCCAGCTCCTTGCTGAAAATTTGTGTTCAAGTCTTCTTGGAGCATCGATCGAAAACTGCTTTCAGCTTTTTCACCCCTACTATGAAAAAAAAAGAAACAAAACAATCTAAGTTTCTAACCCTAATACTATTATAAGAAGTATGTATATATATATATATATATATAGAATTCATGATTGAAACCCTTGATGAAAGAAAAACAATTCAAAAAAGAAACATTGATGCCCTTTTTTTAGGGTTATAAAAAGACCGCACTTACAATAGAGCTTGGTTCCAATCCATTCCTTGGGATGAAAGGCCTAAACCAATCATCTGTAAATTGGGGTCTGGTAATATACCAACTCCAGCTGAATCAGTAGGCCCTTGCAGCTTCTGGGTATCTTGGAAAACATTGATTGAGCTACCAGACACTGAAATGGAATCCATGGATGACCTTGCTTTGGTATCCACTATTTCTGTCGGCCATCCATAGCTTACTATACTATTTATTGCTGTAGAGGACGGCGTCGATCCACTTTCAAACCTGTTTCTTGATGACCCCCACCAGCTCTGAAATTCATCCGCCATAGCCAGGAGCTTCAACTTTTCTTCTATATTTTAAGTTCTCCCTCTCTCTCTCTCTCTGTCTATGTGCCGGTGACGGCTTCAGATTCTTTACCTTGTGAGACTCTCTTCCAGGGCTTCTTGGGCTTGTCTTGGTTTCAAACAAGATGATGAGATGAATATGATTCTCTTCATGTTGCTATTTATATTAAGAAGAAACCGCTTGAGTGTGGTAAGTGGTAACAGAAGAAATATCAGAATTTGGTTGACTTTTAAGGGTGTTTAGTCTTGGAGAGGTCTTTTTTAAATCAAATTCATTTGCTAATTAGCCAAATAAACAAATTATTTATTTTTCTTTTTCTCTAAACAGTAACAGCAATGCTTTTCGCTTTTTCTTCTTTGTTTTTGTTTTCTTTCATTTGTCTTTCACTACTTCGATGTTATAATAGAATTAGTTGCTTCAAAAACTAGTCGTGACAAATAAAATTTCCTTGGCAGTGTCGAGTTAATTTTTTTTTCATTTTTTTTTCAGAAAATAGAGTCGAGCTAATATACCAATGACAATATAAGACAAAATAATAACAAGAGTAGTTCAAATGGTAATTGTATATGTCTTAATTTCGAATTTTGACAATTTTTTGAGGTTAAGTCATAAAAAATTTATCTCTTATGAACATCCTAATCTTGACATTGGTGATTTGCCTTTGACCAAATCAAGAAAAAGATTAGTCGAAGTGCGTAGAAATTAACCTAAACATTCTTGACTGTTGAAAAAAAAATAATAATAATACAAGACAAACTGTTACATAATTTAGCACGATATCAAATTCGAATTAGAATAACATTTTTGCATGACTAGTCATTCTATAATAATTGAATCTCTCGTTCTTCCTCCTACATTTACCTATGAGCCTTGTCTGCAGCCTTTTCAAGCACTGACTTACTATAGATTAAAAAAAAACTTTTGTCAAATTCGTTAATATCAAAGTAAGTACAAGCCAAAAACGATTTGTCAATCAATTCATTTCACAGAAACCACCTTCTAAATCACACATTAAAAGATTGAAAAAATACCATTTAAATATTAATTGTTGAGCTAATACATTATATTCATAGAATTGATAACCGGCTTAAACTAATAATGAAATTTACTATCAATCCAACGACAAGGAGTGAATAAATCAACGAATTGAGTTCTATGTAATATTGGTCAAAGATTGAAGGTGGATCAAACAAAAGAAATTATAATATGCTGATTATTGCAATAAAATCATATTACAACCTTCAAAGTCTTGTTGATTCCTAAAAATATCAAGATAATTGGAATTGAAAAAAGAACCCATCTTTGAATTTAATTCAAAATAATCAAAAGCCACCGAATAAGTTTTCACCATAAGAAAATTTAATTGCCCTAAATTACCAAAAAAAATAAAAAGCAAATATGCGATATTATTAAAATACTTCAAACAATGGGATAAAAATAGAAAATATATAAAAAGTTTCCTAATCATCATTTTTTTAAAAAATGACTAGGATGAAGGCAAAATATTTAATTTTGCTCCGATCGCCAAGAGTTTTTCAAAATAGGATTATTTGTAATTTTCTGACACTGGCAAAAATTAACCCTAATTATTACTTGATCAATACTACTTTCAACGAAACCATGAGTATAAAAAATTTTCATTAATCAAGCAACTTGTGCCGATAGCTGTAGGCATTTGGAAGGACCACAACCCCATTATCAAACAAATGCATATGTTTATTGGCAGATGTCTAAGTTTAGCTTTGATTAGGCAGGTGAATCTTACCAACTTTTCACTGCCGTTTCTATATTTTAGATTAAATTGCCAAAATTTTTCAAAGATGAATCAATGCCAGTGATCAGCATTCAACAGCAAGTCAAATGTATAGACATAATAATAAATATTATAAGTATTTATGTAAATGAAGATATTTTTTATTTTTTCAACTGATTTCTCATTGTTTTGTGACAGCATGGCGATATCGGGAAGAACTTAAGGTTGCTTAAATATTCTGAGAAAATTTAGTAAACCAATTCGTGGCACGTTAATCCAATTTCAACCTAGAATGTTAATTCAAGGATAGAAAATAGCAATTTTATATAAATTTAATCGATGAAAAGAACTTTTCTTGGGAAAAATCCCAGAAATAAAGAATGAATAGCTCATCCCGAACCCGAACCCGAACCCGAACCCGAACCCGATCCACTATATTCAATTTTCCTTTCAATTCAATAAGCTTAATAAATTGTGAAACTACATTACATTACGATATTGTTGCCACTTGAAGTTAGTGAGTAGTGAGTGGATTTATTTGGTATGCCAAGTATTTTTTTTTTTTTTTGTTATAACCATAATTTCTTAATTTAAATTATTTTTAATTGAAAATTTAATTTTTAATTACAATACTATAGTAATTAAATATATAATATAATATTTATACCACGTCAATAATTATTTGTGATATAATTGTTTAATAAAATATTTAAAAAATAAATAACTTCTTTTTTAATTGCAAAAATAGATAAAATAACCACACTTCTCTTACATTACATGCCACTGTTATCATATTACTTGAATTTGTGATTATTGGATTTTGTTTAACTTATTTATTTATTAAATAATTATACCATGCGCTACACGCTAACGTTAAACAACCGTTACCTTGAATATTTTGACTAAGAGATGAGGGCTGAGGAGGACGATGACTCTTATCAAGTTGGCGTCATGCTTACTTTGACCTTTTTACTATTTTTTAACAACAAAAAGTCAACGAATGGGGTCCACACGGCATGCTCGCGTGCGGGTACATGTGGGCCCCGCTGTTTTTCCTATGAGTCAGAACCCGAAAGCGATGCTTATTTTGTTACTTTGTTTATCCTAATTCTAATATTCTCCTCTACTAATCATTTCATCATCTCAATTTCCTCCCTTGACGTACCATACACGTTCCCATCTTCTTCTCCACCCCCGTTCTCTACGATGGTTCGTTTGATTGGAGGGACAGATTTTTTATCATTAAAATAAGAAAATAAAATTTTCATTTTTTGACTTTCGGTAAAAATGATTAAAAAATGGAATGAATAAATTTTTATTATTTTATTTTGTATGAAAAAATAACAAAAAAATATTATTACTAGTGAAATATCAAAAATACTATTAATAGAATATAAATAACCTATTCAGACACGAGTTCCTTGGAGTAAACGGTAATTAACCATTACATAAAAGTTATGGGACCATCTTGACCCACTTGTCAAGCATTGTTGTTATTTTCTGCCAAAAAATGGAGGGAAAAAAAATGGTGGGCGATGGATTGCTTTTCGCCCCATCTTTTCTTTCCAATCAAAGAAAAGAAAATTACATTTTTCATCATATTTTTCATTCATCATTTTCAATCCATCCTATTTTCACTCGTACCAAACACAAAATTAGTTTGGCAAATACATAAATTAATTTATTTTTGTAAAAAAATTAATAAAGTGATAATAAGAACGATATCGGAGTAATGATAGATCAAACTTTAATCTGAATATAATTTAAATTAACTGTATATAGATTTTATATCTGAATCCATATACAATCTTTCTAGATCAAATGCGTTTATACTAATGTTTGATGCGATATAATTTAATACGAATTGTATGTACCACTTAAAAATGTGGAGTTAAGTTCATGAAATTGAGCTGAAATTCATATATAATTTTTTAAAATAAGGTTTTAAGAATTTTTAACTCAGATTTTGACTTTTAACAGATCCATATATGAATATAAAAATAAAATTCGTTGAATATTCGTATTGAATTTGGATCAGAGTTTTAAAATTAAATTTTCATTTGAATCAATTGAAATTCAATCCTGTGGTTTTTTGCCCTCAATTTCAACTAAATGCTTTAAAGAATACAAGAGAAAAGAATTGGTACAGCAGTAACTAGTATTGCTTGTATTAAATTTACTAACAAAATTCATTATTGTTATCGAATAAATAGTGGACTCAGATATTATCTCAGAATTACACATTGGGAACCACAAAGGTTGAATGGGCCAGGTCTAAAATTTCTACCATATAAAATCACATGGTGTTCTGTACTATTTGTTTATGTGGGGATTGTCCACGGTCCATTAGAAGTTATGCCATTATTTTTGCACATTAGGTGCCTATATATGTGCTTAGGTGTGAAACCATATGAATCATTATCATCATCTTGGGGTTGCACCAAATTAGTGTTTTGAATGCACTAAATGATCATTAGTTTTTTTTTTTTTTTTGGTCGTAATGCATCGATGTGTTAATAAAAGCATGAATGATAAAGCAAGGCATGATGAAAATATGTTTGGTAGAAGCACAATCATATCTGTTTTGGGTATCATTGGTTAATCGTCTTGATTATGGAATGATTTCACAGTTTCAATCGCAACGATATATAATATGGTGTATATTTTTATTTTAGTGTATACAATCTAATCCATACTAATATAGTCTGACCAATTTACTTTACAGGTAAAGAGCAAGAATCCAAAGAGGACAATTTGCAACCAATTTATACTATTAAGCAAAGAAAAAAACATTCGATAAGAGTTGAGGAAGAACCTAGACAAATGGCATAACATAACACTTTGAAAGAGGTATATATAGTAAATCAATTAATGTCTATATGTGACAAGAATTGATGAACTAACCTCTTGATCGTTTGGTAAAGTCAAGGATGGTTGTGTTATACACACCAATGTGTAGCGTCCTGAGATATTATCTGGAGCAATTTACATCTCAATCTTATTAGTCGTGAAATATTACATATTTATTTTTTCATCTTTCTCCACTAATCAAGACGTCATTGCTGCCAAGAAAACCTTGAATACAATATGTTTTGGTTTCTAAATTTCAAGGTTCACCATCATCGATTGGAGCAAGAGAAGCAAAAACAGATAAAAAATCCGCACAATTTCACCTGACAATTCACATTGCTTACCTATGAGATTGCACTTGACTATGTATCTAAATAT